ACAAGCTGCATCAGAGAGCAAACAGGAATAGTAACTTAGCTTTACTCAAACTTAGAAGATGCTACCTTCCTTGATTTCCTAGTCACCAACAATAAACTTGTACAGAGTTAAAAATGCTGCTGGAAAAAATCTTTAATCCAAATAGCTTTTCATTTTTTTTGTGAAATTACTTAGAGGTCACTGAGATTAACCTAGGCTAATAATCTATGGAGACCTCTTATAAAAGTGAGAATGGTACTAGTGTTCTCATGTCACCTCTTGCCTATGTTCTTTGAGAAAACAGAACATGCTTTACATTTCATTAATGTAGTCACCTTCTACTGTTACACTAAGATAGAGAGTATGGATGATTTTGGCTTTCTTACTCAATTTTGAAATGTATTTCGATTAGAAGATCTGAAAAGTCTAAATTTCTTCCAAATTCATTCCCTTATTTTTGACCAGCTACAATAATTGTCTAGAATAGAATTATCCTGGTTCCATTATCATCTTGTTTACATTTTCATATAAATTTCACATCTTGGCTGCTGAATACACGTTATACAGTGAGAAATTTTAAAGCTTCTTCAATCTCTACTCATAATAAAGATGTACAAGTCTCTCAGCATACAAGGAGCTGACATGTTGCTAGGTTTGCTACAGCTTCCCTGACTTAAAGATGCAGGAGTGATCATCCATTCAACTGTCAGGGCTGTGTGCCTAGCATTGGACTGAGCCCAGGAAGATATTGGCAAAATAATATTTTTTCATGTCATCTAGTATTTCCTAGAAATAAATCATTTTAACATTGTATTTCAATTTCCATAGTTTTATGCAAGATGTCTTATGGGTGAGGTAAACGTTTATTTTAAAGTCCTCTAGTAATTTGGGACTATATAGTTTGAGCTTTAGTAAATGTTTATGAAATTCGCTTTACATGAAAGGTGCTGTGCAAGAGCTAATGTTGTTAGTACAAGCTTTACTTTAATTCATCTGTGGCACAAGCAGCAGTGATAAAACAGTATTTAGTACTGAATATAACTACATCATTTTAGTGTGGACTTGGTAGTGTAGGTCAATGGTTGGACTGGATGATCTTAAATCTTTGTGTTTCTCCAAGAAGTGTGAAACACTGTTGCAAGAGTCCCCTACATGAGCCAGTTATCCAGTGAAGCATATGGCCAATGTGCTGCAAAGCACATCAGCCCCATTTGGCTCCTTAACACTTCACCAAAAAAACAAGTTCTATGCACTCCACTATGCAAAACAAGGTCTTTTGAACACCACACAGGGCAGAAATGTTACCCAGTACCAGGCAGGTTTTCTTGAGGGGAAACTTGTTAGAACTGTCAAAAAA